TGTCATCTGATAGTATTGGTCCCCAACCCCTGAACATTAAAATGTCTTAAAGCATTGCTTAGTTTTCATAGTAGACTAGTTTTCTTTATTGAAGTTTTAGAACACGGAATAAATGAAGTTTCAGATCACAGAGAAAGCTTTGTTTAGATTTCCAATTTAAGAGTACTGTATATTGAGGTGATAACTTGCGAATTTTTTTTGTGCTTATATTTTTTATACTTTCTGAGAGAAAGTTCTTTTGGTTCCTTGTGATACCAGGAGAAAGTTTTTCAAATTGGATCTGTCACAAACTTTAAAGTTTTTGAGTAAGGTCAGTTGTTCTTATTTATGTGTTTAAGAGACATGCTCTCCATCATATAAAAAGGATAAAATATTTTTCAGCAGTAAATATTATTATTAAGAATTTATAGGCTTTTAATACAGGCTCTTAGTGCAGTGGGTAGTGCACTTGCCTTGCATGCCACTGACTGAGGTTTGATCTTCAGCATCCCATATGGTTCCTGGAGCAATTCCTGAGCATAGTCATTGGATATGGCCCCAAAACCAAACAAAATGTCCGATGAAATGGGAAGTCGAGGATCTTTTTAAATTAAAAGACACTATAAAATAATGGTGATTATATTCTGGAGGCTCCTTGGGTTGGTATATTTATTGGCTTTACCATTTTCAAGCTATGGTCTTAAGAAATTAATTTTAATTTGTCTTAGAAACTTGATCTGAGCAATGAGTGTGGAAGTTGAACCTTTTTCATAAGGTTGTTATGAAGATTAAATCCTGAGCATGTGAAGTTCTCAGCATAATGCCTGATGTATTGTAAGAATAATCTAAATGTTTGCTCCTATTTTGAGACCCAGGTCTTGGAATTCCATGTTCTTTCTCTCTTGCCAACTTTCATTGTCGTATTTCTTTCTCTGCTTTCACAGGCCCAAGTTCTTATACAATTTTATATATCCATTTCATAATTGCAGTCTTTAGGAGATATGTATTCCCACTGCTTGCTTTTTTTTTGAATTGGTCATTAGTTTGGGATTTTTATCTAATTAATTTCAATAAGTTTGTGAAACATGTTTTGTGAAATTTTGTGTGCATTTAAATATTTACATGCCATTTAACATAGATGATCATGAATTTTTCTCACACCTTTGTTTGGTAAATTTGCTTTTCTTTGAAAATTATGAAAATATATTACTCATTTTACTTTCAGGGAAGAATACCAGGATATAGTTTAACTCAAACCATGACATTCTGCTACTTGCTTTCCAGAAGAACCATAAACCAGACATAGATTCTTGCATAATTCTAGTCCAAGTAAATGTGTTGTCACTTTCCCTTACTTTTAAAGAATGAATATATCATAAAGAATTCAAAAGTAAGAATTTTTTGTCTTTCTTTAAATTGATCCCATTTTAAACTTTATTTAGCAAACCAAACTTGTAAAATATGTAGTTTCTTTTTCCTAACTTACATAGTTTTTCAAAATTTTCGTGGACGATTCACCATGACTGTTAGCACTTCTCTTAAAGGTATGGACAGATCTTACTTCATAAAATTGAGAGACTTTGTCTTGTCTTAGAGGATTAGCTGTCTGGAAGGAAAGAAGCTTTCTCCCTCTGAAGGCACAGTATTTGCCTCTCTTATTTCAGTTGGGTCTCAGTTCAAATGATACAAGGTCTGTCAGCTTTGTTTCTAATCCTCCCATGTTAAATCACCTCATTGTTACCCTATCCTCCCACTGTGCCTTAGGTTTCCTCACGGAATTCACCCCAGGCTGACAATTTATCTTGTTTGTTTATTGTTTCCTCTCCAGTCTGTAAACTATATAAGGTCCATGAAAATAGGGGCTCATTCTGTTAGATGCTGTATTTGTGTTGCCTATTTGAGATTTATAATAGCACATAATAAGTATTCAGATTTTTGTTAAGTAAATTATTATAATTTTCTATTTGTACAGTTACCTGTGCTTTGAAGCTTCTAGAAATAATCTTTGGATGCTTTATTATTTTCTTTGTGGGTCACACCCGGCGATGCTCAGGGGTTACTCCTGGCTCATGCATTCAGGAATTACTCCTGGCAGTGCTCGAGGAACCATATGGGTTGCTGGGAATCGAACCCGGGTCGGCCACGTGCAAGGCAAATGCCCTACCCGCTGTGCTATAGCTCCAGCCCTCAATGGATGCATTTTGAAAATGGTCTGAATTACAGTGTAGTTGAAACATTCTGTGGACCAGGTGTGTGGGAAAAAAAATCCCTAATGTTACTAAGGATATAAAGTGTTAGAATTCTTCTGGTAAGAAAAGAGAATGTTAGATTAATCTCAGAAATTTTCCAGCATATACTTCTCCTTTTAAAGATTAGGAGACTGAGGTCTGGCTGTATTTATGATTCACTGTGCTTCTCAGTAACAGAGTTCCTAAATTCATCTTTCATTCTATAACTCATATAACTGGTCTTAATTTCCTTGTAAATTTAATTTTCTTGACTTAATCTTCTGCAAAATGTGTGATACGATATTTTCTCTTTTTTAATCATTTGCATACTTTTTGGTAGATATATGGAATTTTTTGTTATCTTCCCTATCTTCTATCAAATTATCCACTTAAATATCTTACATGAAACAGAATCAGTATTTGCAAAAGCAGATTCCTTAGATTTCTACCTAAACCTGAAACTTTTGCTATATTGCTCTAAATATTTTGTTCCATTTGGGTTGGTCAGAAACTAAATGGGAAGAGAGTAGCACTTTTATATCTTTCTGACGTTGTTCCCTTATATACAAAAAGTTACAAATACCATAATCTCTCTTTTTTGATAGATATTGATTAGCTGAAATAACCCTCTGCCAAATGTTGACCATTGCAGAAAATATCTGCTTCTCATCACAGTAAATCATCCTCTAAGTGGCCCATCAAATTCATCATTATTATGCCTTTATTTGCAAATAATTCATAACTTTATTTAAAGAGGCCCTCTAAGGAGAAAAGGAAAGTTATTTATATAGCCTTTAATAGAGAACTTTGGACAGTAGGTATGTCCAAGAGGAAATGAGCCCTTAGATATAATTTCTGACTGAGAATGTAATTTTTTTCCTCTTGTTATTACTGCTTTTCAACAATAAATAGGAAATTTTTAAAGTTTGAATGAACTGTCTATGTGTATTATCAGTGTTCAGGTTGAACAATTGAGTAAATTACCTGCCTTGCAAAGAAAGCTGTATAAGTCCTTGTAGCCTAGTAATTGACAGAGAAGATAGAAAAAATTAAAAACAGACGTAAAGATACCTAATTTACAGCTGGGAAGCACCTGAAAGCATAGAATTTGACATGAGTTAAAGCCATCCCATATTCATTTCCTTCTAGTTGAAAAGCGATAAATAAATGTGTAGTCTTATGGTTAAACAGAAGTATTTGAATGCCTCCTAGTGGTATATTGTGTGCTCTAATTAAGGAACATAAAATACTTATTGAAGGAATATTGTAAGTAAGCTGTTAATACTTGTAAGTACCAAGTATTAGAAGTCTTTATAAATGGAATGAAAATATGTATCTTTACCATAATAATTGATTGAAAATATATTGTAAAATATACACTACATATGACAAAGTTGAATATACTTTAATTTTTTATATTATATTTTAAAATTAATTAAAATTTAGTTGTGGCTGGAATGATAGTACAGTGGGGAGGGGGCTTGCACTGCACACTACTGACTTGGGTTTGATCCTCAGGACCCCGTATGGTTCCCCAAGTCCATCAGGAGTGATCGTGAGCACAGAATCAGGAGTAACTTCTGTGCATGTCTGGATGTGGCCCAAAAATCAAAAAGTAAATAAATAAAAATTTAGTGGCACTATGGTACTCATAAATATTGGCATATATTGCTGTTAAGATTGCTTTGTTTTCATTTATCTTTTTAAATTAATTTGGTTTTGAGTGCAAGTTCTAAATTTAATGTGTAATAAAATAGGAATAATGGTTTATAGCAAGTGTGTGATTAAATTGAGGTAGTTTTAGCTTTAATTTCTAATTTTGTTTTTAAATTATTCAATTACTTTCAAATACAGACTGTTCCAAAGGTTTAAAATACTGAATGTTAATTTATTAATTGTTTTTAGCACTTAAAGTATAATTATAAATATAAAGAAAGCCACTTGGAAAGAATTCTGGTGAGGGTCAATAGGAGGAAGAAAAAAAGTGATTTCCTTTGTCAAGCATTAAAAAATATTTAATTAACCACTTGCCCAAACAAAACAATTAAAATGGCAATTACCTTTAAAATAGCAACATTGTAATTGCAGCTGTTGTGATATAAAGCTAGGAAACAAAATGTTAATCTGAAATGAACAGTTTAAATATGAGATTATGATATACTTGGCTTCCTGCAGTACAGCTGTCAAGCTTGGGCAGTCCGCTGGTCAATGGTGACATTCTATGTGTCAGTGAACACAGTCTCCTGATACCATAACCTGCAGTTCACACATTACTGAAGCTCCAACTGTCGAACATTCAAGTCCCCTGGTATTACTGCAGCTTCCAGACTCTCCTGACTGGCTCATGTTTCATTCTTTGGCAATTTGCCCTAATGATATCCCTCAGGAGCTTTCAGCCTCTCTCCCTTTCCATATTTAATCGTGGCATATTAATCTGAGTGATGCGCAAACTGTGCTGCACAAATTGTCGTTTCCTGCAGCTTCTCTTAGATGCACACCTGATCTTTCAGTTTCACTTGTATTTATGTTCCAAGTTTTGACCCCAAACACTCTTTATTTTCAGACGGTTTGCACTGCCTCTTAAGGATCCCAGGAAGCCACTTGTGCCATGCATCTATTTTGCAGGGGGTCTGGGAGACATGATTTTAAAATGCAGAATTGGAGAACATGAAGTGATTTATGTTGTTAAGTAAATTGTGTTTATGATGATTATTAATCTTTCATAACCTCGCATGCCGTATTGGTCTGGAGCATCAGCAGCTACTTACCATTGTTTCCTTTCCCAAACCTCAGTTAACTGCCTGTCTCCATGGATCGGCTGCCCTGCTCTACCCCATGTACTGGCAGCACATATACATCCCGGTGCTGCCCCCACACCTGCTGGACTATTGCTGGTAAGCTGACGTCGTCGGCCAGGCTGCTTGCTATCCATCCAGGTTCACGAGAGAGGAAGTGCGCTTGCTCCAGAGCCTCGGCTGCTCGTGTCTGGGTGTAAATGAAATATGTGAACTTGATTTAGAGATTACTAACAGTATTCATAACAGGTGCTTCTTATGAAGGTCAGAGTGGTTCTTTCCAAAGGAACCAAAATTTAAGTTGGTGTAGATTTTGTGAGTCCCGCCCCCTCTCCTCTCCCCCCCCCCCCCGCACTTAGATAATTAAGTGCATAAACAGTAAATAAAATCTGGGTTCTGGTTGTGGAAACTGTACAGAAGTTGCAGTCACAGGAAATCCATTACCGCATGTGTCAGAATTTATCTGCTAACTTGTTTCAGTCCCACCGCACCCCTTATCACTCAGTAACTCCCTGCATCCCAGATTTCAGTGAGGAGTTACCTCTTGTACAGGGATTCCCTGAATTTCTGTTTTAAATCAAAGTCTAAGCCCTACTCCAACTCTGAAAGGCACCATTGAAAAATGTTGGGAGTAATTCTGAAAAGCTTTCTCGCATTAAAAACGACTTCCAGTCATCTCACCCTATCTGAACTAAGCTCTGCCTCTAGAACTTCACTGTTGTGTGCCATTGTGTGTTCTTATAGGGGAGGTAAACAAGGATGCGAGCCTTAGGACCTCCACCTGTACTCTAGGGCAGACAGTCATCTTCACTGCACACTCATTTTCTTCAGATACAGCTTTTAATTTTTAAGACAATTGAGAATTTTCCCTCTAGACCGTGCAAGTGCACATACATAACATACATAAACAGAAATAATTTTAATGATGATATATTTGTGTAAGTCACAATAATATTATTTTTAAAAGGCTCTTTAGAATCAAAGTATTTCTCTTTGTTTTCTTTGGGGGTGGTATACACAGCAGTTCTCAGGGATCATTCCTGGCAGACTCTGGGGACCCAATGGGATGCCAGGGATCAAACTTGGGTGGCCATGTGCAATGCAAGTGCCCTACCTTCTTTTTTTAAAATTTTTTTTAAATTGAAACACCATGAAATACAGTTCCAAAGCTTTCATGATTGAGTTTTAGTCATACAATGATCGAACACCCATCCCTCCACCAGTGAGCATTTTCCACCATCAATGTCCCTAGTATCCCTCCCGCCATCCCTACCCCATCCTGCCCCCTGTCTCTGTGGCAGGCACCTTCCTTCTTTCTACTTTGAAGTGCCTTACATTCTAAACTCTCTCTGGTCCCCAAAATATTTCTTTCACTTTCTTATTTCATAGAAAGGTGATCACTTAGAATACTGAATTTAACATGAGATGTTTACTATTAAGCTTTTATGACTAGTTTTTCTTATGTTTTATGGTTAATTCTTTGTAGAACTAGTGATTGTAATGACAACATACACACATATGCCCACCTATTGATTGTACCAATATGTTATATATGCCCACAGCATGATAATATTGCTAGTTTTGCTAATGCTGTGAAGTTGATTCCCAGTAAACTGCCGCTGCTATTTCCCCTTTGAGTTCTGGAAAGGAGCTAACAGTTTGGCAGAAGACTGTTTAGTTAATGAAGTTTATTTATATTGAGAAATGCCATAAACACAATCAAAATAAAGTTAGTTAAATAAGTTCTTTTGGTATTCATTTTTAAGTTTTTTTTTCAGATAGAATATTTAGAATGCATCCTTGAAGTTAGAAACTGTATTTATGTTAACAGATGCACCTACATCTTTGCACATGGCATTCAGTAATCAAAACATCTAGTCAACATATTTTTTTCGAATGTATTTGAAAATATATATAACTTAATATTTATACTATTAGTCATCTGAGAACTGATACTTACAGGTTTATTATATTTTGTTAGATATAATGTTAATGCCATTTAAATTAAGATGTTCTGTTTAAGAGGAAATATCCCTTTAAGTTCAGTTGTCAAGATTACACCTTAAGAATTTAAAAAATATTATTAATTTAGAAACTATTCTGTGATTTAAGTAGTTTTGTGTTAAACTGTTCCAGAGATTTGTATTAAATTTTTCTAAATATGATAAAGTATACCTTCCTTACACTCTAGTCTTGCTATTGAGGTGGGCTTTTTTCTTTTCTCTCTGTCTCTGTCTCTGTCTCTCTCTCTCTCTCTCTCTCTGTCTCACTTTCTCTCTCACCTGTTTGATTTCTGGGCCACACCTGTCAGTGCTAAGTGATCACTTTGTGCTCAGTGGTCACTTCTGGTGGTGTTCAGGGAACCTTTTGGAGTGCTAAGGATCAAACGGAAGTCAGCTGTATGCAAGTTCAGCACTTTTATCCCTATATTATCTCGCTGATTGTCTCCCCCAAACCTTTTATTTTTTTCTACTGTTTCCTCTAATGAAGGAAAATTCTCTTAATTTTTAAGTTCCTGAATTTTTCATACTAGTTTCTAACCTCTGAAATAACGTTTAGAACAAGTACTGAGAACGTTCTTTCCAGACACTTCTCTGGTCCATAGAGTTCATCCATTAGTGAAAATCAAATGGAGTTTTCTGAAACAGGGAGTTAGCTGAAACTTCCTGAATCTTAAGGTCTGAAATATAGGTCTTGTCTCCTATCACAGATATGATATAATGTGTGCAATGGATAATATAATATGATTTTTATGTAATATCGTCTTTTCTCCCAGGGGCTGTTTAAGATTTTCACTGTTAAACTCTCTAGATCAGGGAATTGTGAAGTGTCTGGAAAGAAAGTTCTCAGTTAACCCTTAAATTCATTTTTTAATTCATTTTTATAAAATATAGAAATATTTTTTTCTACTTCCAAAAATTACTTCAGAGAGGCTTGAAAAGGTTATGTGTGTGTTTCTACTCTATTTAAAATTAAGATGCTGTGGTTTACAGGACTATGATTTGGTTTACAATCAATGATGACTGCTCATGCACATAATCAGTCCCAAGACCACACCCATCTTTACACCACACCCACCACACACATATTTTCCACTCTGTAAGATGAGGGGAAATTTGCACAATAGTCCAGTCTTGAAGAGAATTGTTTTATACCTGATATCTCTGGTGTGGTATTGACTGTGGAGGGCCATAATCCCATCTTGTGACCATGAGCAAATATCACATCTTGGCCTACTGATAAAGCCTTGCCTACTACCTCATTCATTCATTCATACATCACTTATTGTACACTAATTTACCAAGTTATGAGAAACTTTGCATTCTAGGCTTGTGAGCGATCTCTTTATCCCAAATTAGGAGAATTTAATGTCATAAGTAAGACTTAGTTGCTGTAGGAAGGAATTCATATACACACCTATGGACATAGAGTGCACACTCATGAGCATTTATATGTATATACAAAATCAGAGTATTGCTGCAAACTCAATGCTTATATCAGAGAACTATAAAACAGTGTTGGATAGCATCACAAAGAAAGCACTGTCCCACACTTGTATAAAGTAGTATAAAAGTGATCATCATTTGCAGTTTTCCCTTACCATAACAGGAAAGTGGAAAATGGGTACCTATTTAATAGGTACAAAGTTCGTTATACAAGCTGATTAAGTTTTAGAGAGTGGTGGTACAACATTGTGTTGGTAATGAACAGTACTGTATTGTAGACTAAGATATTTGTTAAAAGGCCACATCTTGTGTTAGCCATTCTTTTGAGAAAGAAAGAGGACTTTGATGTGGTTAGTCTGTGCTGTTGCTCTTGACCTTTCAGAGTCCTTAGCGCACCATGGAGGTAGTGTGACTCTGGTAGCAATGAAATGATGCTTTTCGTTATTTGTTTATGAATGGAGAGTCTCTTATTAAATTAGGCTTATCTGACTCTTCTTTCCATGAACGGGGTAGATTCAGTTTCTAAGAAATTAGTGCTTAAAAAAATAAGAAAATTATATGTTTAAGCCAGTACTTAAACTTTTCTACTATTGTACCTTTTGACCCAAGACATTTTTACAAAAATGCAGGCATATATGTATATAAAATTAGGCATACAGAAGAATTAATTGCTGGTAATAAATAAGAGAGATTTATTTTAAAACAAATGTTTAAGACTTTTTTTACGGCCTCTACATTCAGTTATGCAGGGTTGCAGTCAACAGTTTAAGAAGCTTAAGTTTAAACATAACATAAAGCTTTAAGTTTAAGCTTAAATTTAAGGCAATCCACAGTTTAAGAGATGTAGACTACCCTAAGTTGGGGTGTAGACTACTGTAAGTTGTAGGGTTCTGTGTTGTAGTCTCCGATAACAGTGATTTCTGCCAGAAACTCACAGAAAAACTCTAGTATTTATTTTTGAATAAAAATTAATTGCTACATAAAGTAAGCCACATTCATAATAGAGCCTTTGTATCCTATCTTTGTAAAGTATAACTTCATTGACAGAAACATCTAGGACAATTTTGCACATGGATGGTAAAACATCTGTGTTGTCAGGAATTTCTTCCTGACTTTTTCACACCCTAATCTAATTGGGAAATTTCAGCTGGGGTTGCAAAATTACTTTTCATGAGATTTGGCTGATTTAATATTAGGATGTGTACAGTCTAGTTATCATCAGAAAGAAAAATCAATTAGAGATTCTGTAAAGCACCATAATTATTTTAGGAAATTGTACCTTAGATTAATAATGTTGTCAGTTCTAACATCTGTATGTTTTGGATTTTACAGAAATTAGAGGAAAATGTAAAGTACCTAGAGATCCTGTAGAAAATGTTTTAACTGATTGTTAATTTCTGCACAGAAACTCTTTGTAGAGTGTTTTAGTTATATAGTTTCTGTAATTGTTCATTTTTGTGTTTCTCAACCTTTTCACAGCTGGTTTCTCAGTATCTTCTCTGTTATCTTTACTTTCCACTTCCTTCTGTGGCCTCTGATCTTATGCTGTGACCCCTAATTTATGTGATTTTCATTTGTTATCCCTTTGGAATACCTGGGAACTTTTGGAATACCTGAGTTGTTTGAGAAATGCTTGTGTATATCTCAAGTGATAAGTAGCTTTTTTGAAGTTTTTTTTCCTTTCTTTTAATTTCAATTTTAATTTGTGTGTCACCATGAGATACAGAGTTACAAAGCTGTTCATGGTTGGGTTTAGGTCATACAGTGTTTCAACACCCATCCCTCCACCAGTATACAATGTCCCCATTTTCCATCCTGCCATTCTCCCCCAAGCCAAACTCTTTGCAGGCAGTTTCCTTCTTTTTCTCTCTGTCTCTGTCTCTTTCTGTTTGTCTCTCTCTCTCTCCCCATTGAAGCATAATGATTTGCAATACAGGTACTGAGAGATTTTCAAGTTTGTTCCTGTAGCTGTTTTCAGCATGCAGTTCTAATCCAGGGTGATCATTTCCAACTATCTTTTTTTTTTTTAATGTACTTTAATTTTTTTTTTTTTTGCTTTTTGGGTCACACCTGGCTATGCACAGGGGTTACTCCCGGCTCTGCACTCAGGAGTTACTCCTGGCGGTGCTCAGGGGACCAAATGGGATGCTGGGAATCAAACCCGGGTTGGCTGCGTGCAAGGCAAACACCCTACCCGCTGTGCTATCTCTTCAGCCCCTCATTTCCAACTATCTTTGTCATGGTGGTCCCTTCTCTATCCCAACTGCATTCTCCCCCAGCATTTGAAGTAGGCTTCCCATCATAGGCCAATCCTCCTGGCCCTTATTCTATTGTCCTTGATTATTGTTCTCATGTTACACATTTTTTTAATATCCCACAAATGAGTTTGATCATTATGTCTATCCCTCTCTTTCTGACTCTTTTCACTCACCTTAATATTATCCAGGTTCATCCATCTATAAGCAAGTTTCATAACTTTATTTTCCTAATAGCTGCATAATATTTCATTGTTGTACATGTACCATAGTTTCTTTAACCCAGATGATCAAAAGACCCAGATCTGAAAAAATGCTGTACATCATTAGTCGTTGGGGAGATGCAAATCAAAACAACAATGAGATATCATATCACACCATAGAGACTGACACACATCAAAAAGAACAAGAGCAACCAATGCTGGTGTGGATGTGGGGAGAAAGGGACTCTTCATTGTTGGTGGAAATGCTGACTGGTCTCGCCTTTTTGAAAAACAATATGGATATCCTCAAAAAACTAGAAATTGAGCTTTCATATGACCTGGCAATATCACTTCTAGGAATATACCTTGGCACCCCAAAACACAACCGAAATACTGTCTGCACTTCTGTGTTCATTGTAGCACCATTCATAATCTGGAAACCACCTGAATGCCTGAGAACAGATGACTGCTTTCATGAAGTTTTGAAAGTATTGCTTTAGATAGATTTCGGGGCCTGAGCAATAGCATAGTGGGTAGAGCATTTGCCTTGGACGCAGCTGACCTGGTTTGATTCCTCCGCCCCTCTTGGAGAGCCCAGCAAAGTACTGAGAGTATCCTGCCTGCACGACAAAGCCTGGCAAGCTACCCGTGAGGTATTCAATATGCAAAAACAGTAACAAGCCTCACAATGGAGACGTTACTGGTGCCCGCTCGAGCAAATCAACAGGAGGACAGTGCTATAGTGCTAGATAGATTTCAGAGGGCAGACTCGATGATGTAGCTTCAGTGACAGAGCATGTGCCTTCTGTATGTGAGACGCTGGGTGCCGTCCTTTGACCATTGGCCCTAAGCACCACTACTTGTGGCTCTGGCTCTAGCTACTTTCCACCATTGGCAGTGACCCTGCAGTCACAGCAGCGACAGGCACAGTCAAATCTGAGCAAGATATATTTCATGGGAATTTAATAGGTTACAGACTACATTGGGATGGCTGTCATTTATTTCTTCTCTTTTCATGTTCAAGTTATAAGATATTTTAGGTTTTAATGCTATAAGGCCCATACATGGTTCCTAACTTTTAACTTAAAAAAATCAAAATATTTGGGCTGGAGATACAGTACAGTGAGTGTGTGGGTGGGGTGCTTGCCTGGCATGTAGCTGAGTGGAGTTCCAACTCCAGCACCCCAGATGGTTCTTCAAGCATCACCTGGAATAATTCCTGAGTGCAGAGCCAGGAGTAAGCCTTGAGTATAGACAGGTGTGGCTATATCTTTGGCCATATATATATATATATATATATACATACACACACACATATATATCAAACCAGTAACAGATGGTCTTTACATGAGCATGATAAAATTAATTTTAAAAAACATACAGAATAAAACGACATCTGGAAATTTTAATAATTAAAAAGAAGTAATGAACATACTAGAAGAATAAAATATGAACTTCAACAGTTTTTGTGAACATTTTTTTTGTGAGGACTACATATGTATTAATGACTTGCCAACCTTAAGTAAATGTGGCACTGTTTGAGATTACTTTGAAAACTGTTGATCTGTTAGAAGACCAGTAGGTTTTTTTGTGTTACTAATTCTCTGTACTAAAATGGACATGTAGAAATTTGAACATACCTGTTCTAATAATGACCATTTTATTTGGAAAACTACACAAATCCTCTGATAACCAAGACTATATATTTTATTAACAGAGAAGATTTGCATTAAATAAAATAAGTATTGATATTTATTTGACTTCTCCTTAGGGCTAGGCCTGATAGATGCTGGTAGGTGGGGTGTCACTCTTGGCAGTGTTCTGGAAACCATTTGTTATATGGATTAAACCCAAGGGCCAGAAAGATTGGTCCACAGTTGGAAGCCTACCTCAAATGCTGGGGGATAAGGCAGTTGGGATAGGGAAGGGATCACCACGACAAGATAAGAACTCTGTTCCAGCCATTTGAGGCTTTCTCCTGCCTCACAAATGTTTGTTTCTAAGTAACTATTTACTGAAATATCTTCTATTACCTAGCCATCTGTCAATTCTCATATATGCTAGCACTGTAGCATTGTCCTCCCGTTGTTCATCGATTTGCTCGAGAGGGCTCAGTAATATCTCCATTTGTGAGACTTGTTACTGTGTTTGGCATAATGAATATGTCACAGGGAGCTTGCCAGGCTTTGCCGTGCAGGCGAGATACTCTTTTGAAAAGTGAAGTTAATTTTTTTCTTTTTTATAAGAAACATATAAAAACTTACTAATAAGTCTGATTTTATATATTGAAAAATATTTTAGTGCCTTTATTTTCTGCTGGAGTAAAGAACTACAAAGCCAGGCTCCTACCTCAGTTCTTGGTACCTGGTATTCTTTAGAAACTGTGTGTTAAATTATTATTTCAATATTATTTAAACATGAATGTTTTTCAGTCTAATTGGTTGCTTTACTAAAAATAAAGTGAAATAAATATGAATTGATAAAAGTGAAATAAAAGATGGCAAGAGATCTCAGAAATAGAATGAAAACAGTAGGGAAGGAACTTGTTTTTCTTTGCATCTGGTGCCTACTGGAACACAGTAGGTTTCAAAAATTATTTTGTGACAGAAATAACACACTAAAAGGATGTGGCATCAAAGAAGTTATGAAACAATGACAAAAAAAAGCAACTATAGAAATTAGAATCTAACTAAAAAAAGGTGTGTCAAAGAAATGTAAATAAATTTGGGGGGATATATTGGATATTAAGTATGTGGAAAAAGCTACTGACTGGGTAAAATTTCATTACTTTTCTTACAGATTTTGATACATTGCAACTTCTGAGTTAATTATAAATGATTTTTTTATGTAGTAGTACTGCTATTTATTCAGCCACTGATTAGCTGATTGAACTGGGCATGAACTCCACCTTACTTTTTTTTATAAGATTTTTAAAAAAAAAGACCAACCTAAAATATGATCAGCAGCCTCTGAGAGATTTAAATATTGAATGATTTTGAATATCCATATGTGCTGTTAGGTTTACAAATTCAGAATTAAGCATGCTATTCTTTATATTGCTTTGATTTTGATAAAGATAAAATCTGAATACATGCATATTTTTTAATACAGTGCTCCAATGCCATACTTGATTGGAATACACTGCAGCCTCATAGAGGTAAGTAACTTAAACCTGAAATGGTGACTAATGAATTCATAATAATAATAGTGAAAAAGTAATGATTTTTTGTTTGGGGGCCACACCAGTGGTATTCAAGGGCTACCTCTGGCTCTCTGTCCAGGGTTTACTCCTGGCGATGCTCAAGGGACCATATGCAATGTTGGGAATTGAGCCTGGGTCAACTGCATGAAAGGCAAGAGCCTTAACCCCGGAATTATCTCATTGTCCCAAACAGTAATGTTTTTAAAGAATGTACAGAGAAATGGTTAGTTTCATCTTTACGGTATACTTACATGATTTTTAGTAAGGTAATACTGAAATAATTTTATTTATACTACATAACCTTCAATGGCATGAATGCCATGAAAATAGATAATATTTGGTATAAGTCATATGGTAAGTTATAAATAATGAAAAGTTTGGTACTACATGAGCAGCTTCATGGTACTTAGGTTTTACTATCTGTTAATTTTTCAGATTTGTGTTTAAAAAGTCAGACCTTACGTGATTATGTCCGAACTTAGATAAATCATACAGTAGAAAAGTTTTTATCTTTCAGACTTAATTATTAATGAATTATGTTCATTCTGGTACTATTATTTTTTATAAAATATGGTTTTAATACACCTATTATGAACTTTGAAATTAAAATATAACTTTTAGTTATATTAGTTAACTTTTAGTTAACTTTTTATAAATTTTATTGCATATTTGAAATGTATCTCTTATACCATTATTGCCTGATTTTGAAATGAATTTTGTTAGTTGAGTCATCACTACAAGTGAAAAACCTTGAATTTTAAACTTGTTGAACTTTGATCTTAAACTTTGAGATTACTAGAAAGGACCTCTTTTAATGTTGGCATCTAAATAAAAATAAGTAAAAGGAAGGTTTGGATCCAAACAAAAGATTACTTACACTTACATAGAGTTAGTGTGCTAGCAGCCTTCAGTTGTTTTCAAATAAGTTTATCTTTCTGCTGGTTGTGCAAATTATACTTCGATTCAGTTTCCAATGAGCAACTTCAGTGAGTTAGATTTGATTTTCTTATTAGTTGTTGTAACTGTTCGAAATCAGTAGCTAATTGGGGGAAATCCTGTTATTTTACAACTTTTGAGAATTATAGGGAAGAGACGTCCCCCATAGGCTGATGCTCCCCAGAAATCCTGCATTGTGGAATTCTGCAGGTGTTATAGTTTGGCATTTTCCTCTATTTGCAGTTGTTAGAGCAATATTTTTTCTTTGCGTGACCATTAAGAATGCATTTTTAATGAATTTCCAAGGTAGGTTTGATTTATTTTTATAACTGTGTTCTGAATTGCATACCATTTTATTAACAAAATAGAATGCTATGCAATTCAGAACACAGTTATAAAAATAAATCAAACCTACCTTGGAAATTTTGTTAGAGAAACTGTTCATTCTAAAATTAAAATGTGGTTGTATCTATTTACTTATTTTATATGTGAGACCATACTGTCTAATTTCTTACATTTTGTTTAGTAAAGTATATCTTTGCAACGTATATATTTTTTCCCCTAGGAAGTTTCAAAATTTTTCAGTCTTGACAATTTCAACACATTTTATCAGTTTTATTCTAAGCATGATTGTTCAAATGCTTATAGTTAACATTCTTTTAAGTAATTTGTGGATTTTTTTTACATAATTTTCAGTAAAACATAGCATAGAAATCTTTTTAAAAATAATTTTCTTCTAATGTGAAGGATAAGGACATATTATTTTTCCTGAAAACCAGACTTGAGGGATGAATTCAACGCAGACTGAGGCTTACAAATTATTAAGAATAAATTAGTAGAGGGTGTATTATTTGTTTTAATTTTTAAACACCACAAAATGTAATCAGTCATATCTATAAGACATTGATTATTGCTTCTGTTTAACTTCCTTGCACTGATGTGCATGTTGAATATTTGCACGTTGAATGTTTGTAGCACAGAAGGATGAGAGTGGGAAGACTTTTAGCCTGTTCTTTAGCATTCTTATCTTAATTTTGAAGAAAAAGAATTACCTTTTATACCTTTCTTATTCTTTGGGCTGGAGCGATAGCACAGCGGGTAGGGCATCTGCCTTGCACACAGCCAACATGGCCGACCCGAGTTCGATTCCTCCGCCCCTCTCAGAGAGCCCGGCAAGCTACCGAGAGTATTCGATATGCCAGACACAGTAACAACAAAGTCTCCAATGGAGATGTTACTGGATCATCGATTTGATGATCAACGGGAGGGCCTTTACTTTACTTATTCTTTGGATATCCAAACAAATTTCTGTTTTTTTTTTTTTTTTTTTTTTTGCTTTTTGGGTCATACCTGGAGATACACAGAGGTTACTCCTGGCTCATGCACGCAGGAATAACTCCTGGCGGTGCTCAGGGGACCATATGGGATGCTGGGAATCGAATCCGGGTCAGCTGCGTGCAAGGCAAATGCCGTACCCACTGTGCTATTGCTCCAGCCCCAAATTTAAGAATTTCTTAATATGAAAATAGGAGCCACAGAAAGTCGTATGATTTTATATGCCATTATAACTTTCCATGCCTATTTAGAAAAAAAGAAACTGAAGTATGATTTGAAGGCAAAGCAAATGAGATATTGATATTATTATGTTTTATTGTTTTTCTTTCCTTTTCTGTGAGGTCATTCCTGGAACTATTTGGCTATCAATGCCTGACAGTCCCCTGCTTGAGCCTGGCCATGCTTTGGGCACCAGGTTCACACCCCAATGATGTTTAGGGGCCATTTAGTGCACAAACTTGGCCGTTGTGCCCCTGATCTCAGAGCTATTTCACTGGTCCAAACAAAACATTTGTTTAAGGACTTATACTGGTTTTTTTTCTTGCATATGATCCCGATCCCCTGAGTACTGCCAAAAGTGATACCTGAGAACAGAGCCAGGAATAAATCCTGAGCACTAATGGGTGTGACCCCCCCATTAAAAAATAACCCATTGGTAGAATTATATGATTTATTTAATATAATTAATAGTTTAAATAGAAAAATTAACATATTACTCTAAAGATAAAAACTTGATTAAATTCTAATTTACTATCAATTATTCACATATTGAGGTAGTTTCACTGTTTGACTAGGCTCTCAAACAAATAACCCAAATAGTTAATTTGATAGACTGGTATATTTGATATTTTATATTTAAATTTATATGGTGAGTATTATTAGAAATAATTTTGGTATTACTGCCCTTCCTATTATTTTTTCTCTTGTTCAATATTCATTTGTTTTAACGAATGTGAAAATACAGAGACAACTTAAACCTGAGCTTGTTAGTGTAGTAGTGGTTAATGATTTATGGTAGTCTTGCCTTTGTGTTATTGCATATATTGTCAGTTAGTCCTGATTTTCATACAGATGAAAATCAGCTGTACAATTTAAAGGATATAAATGTTTGCCATGCAGCATAATTGCATCAAGTTTTTAAATCTTTGTAATACCTCTTTGATAGTTAAATTGTATTCTATATCTTCCCAAACTAAATCCTTTCATTTCGTAACTAAGTCATTTCATAACTGAGTGTTTCATTTTAAGCCTTTTTGCCACATAAGCATTTTGTTTTGCTTGCCTTTTTTGTTTTTGGGAGAGCAGAGCTGCAGTCTAGAGACCCTGTGGGGACCACACCCTAGGCATTGCACACCCTGGCCTTGAACTGCAGCCCTGGTACTGAGTCCCCAGGATCCTTTAAAGCATTTTGAGTAGTGGAGGACAAATATTCTGATAAGGAAAAATAACTTAAAATTTGTAACATGGAATTGTTCTTTCCCCCTTCCCTTCCCCCTTATGTTCCTAATGTAGTAGTTTTATAAGTAAATATACTGAGATGTCTTATTTGCCATTATGTTTTTCCAACAGAGAGTGAAAAATAAATCATTGGAGGATGTGGTTATGTTAAATGTTGATACAAACACCTTAGAATCACCATTTAATGACTTGAACAATCTACCCAGTGATGTGGTAAGTGAATTATTTTTTGGGGGGAGCAAATACATTTATGAATACATACATGTCTTCTCCTAGACCTTTGAATTATCAGGAGGTTTTTTTTTTTAACTTTTTCTATCTGCAGTAGACGTGTACAGGGTATGAGAGGAATCAATGTAATTCTATATTTAATACTTCTACCTTTTGGCAGTTGAGGAAATGTTGAATGGAACATCGTATCCTTATTGTAAAAGTAAGATCATAATTAAAAAGCTAGATGCATTCATTAGGCAGAGTTTCTTTAAACGTAACTCTCTTCATCTCATCTTAATCATTATATTACAAAGTAGGCATTTCTGTCTGCCTAGTGGCATGTCTTGCAAAAGAATGAGGGAGTTTTTGAAGGCAAGAAGAAGAAGGGGGCCAATTATCGGCTTTTGCTTCCCTGCCACCTGCCAGCGCCTTTCCTTTTAATTAATGATCTGATGGCACTGGTCAATATAATAAGAAATGCTTGTACAGTTGGGGTCAGAAAATTCTGGCTTTGATCTCTCTTAACTTTCTGAAACATTTATTTGTTTTCTCTAAATTATTTCAGTTTTATTTTAATCTTTTCTATCCTGCTGAGGGCCACAAAAATGAAAACCTACACTGTTTGTCATTTGCCTTGGCAGTGCAAAGACTGCTTACTTAGAATTCTATTTGTAAATTAAACTGCAAGCCCAGTTTGTCATAAAAGACATCTGATCCTTTTGAAATGACGAAAACTGTCTTTTGTCTGTAAAGGCTGATAAATTAAGTGCCAGTTTTCTTTTGGTCTTTGATCTTGCGGAGAGTTTCTGTGTGTGTGTGTGTGTGTGTGTGTGTGTGTGTGTGTGTGTGTGTGTATGCATGTGTGCTTCTGTGGCTTATATAGAAATATTCTGTATTTCATGTTAAGTAGCCCCTAAAGTGCACGTCCCCCCCTTAATATTCCTGGAAACAGGGAGAGAAAGCAGAGCAGTATATCTGTGTACATTTTAATAGCTATTTACAGATATCTTTCCTTACTATATAGTTCTAAGTAAATATAGGACTTTACTGAAACAATAATTTTTCTTTCAAAAACATTAAAATTGAGAATAAAAATCCTTCAAAATGCGCTTTTCTTTAATACTGACTGAAAGTACTTTGAAATCATTATTAAAGTGTTTAAAACGTGAATCTAAAAAATCTTAAAATCAAAACACTACTACTAATCTTCATTGTTTTTATCATTAGTGTTAAGGAAAATATCATTTTAATGCAAAAATATTGGGTAATTTATGCTCAAAAGTAACCTAAAATATTTGTGGACTTGTAAGCAAATTAAATTGTACACTTTCATCATACTATAGTAAAATTTATGCCATGTATGAACAAATCCAAACCTGGGCCACTGAAGAATTGTATTATCTTTAGCTCATTAAAACTGAATCACTTCATTATATATATATATAAAAAAGTACAGAAGCTGCTAGAAGTGATAGAATTATTCATTTGGAAATCCATAAAAATACTTTATTGGTAAGAGAAATGGTTATGAAAATAAAGTCCCAACTTTTGAGAATGTTTTCTTATGTGCTTTATATTTCCTTCCTACTGTTAGTGCATTAAATGAAAAGGGTTGTTATTATTTTTTAAGAAGAGAAAGGAAGAAGAAAGCAACTTTTTATGTTATATTGAAATTTTATATTGAGTGATTATTTTTGAGAAAACAATATATATTATAGTAATTTTGTGATGGGTGGTTTTTTAATTGAAAAATATTATTATTAGTGAGGTACTAATATAGTAAGTTAAATATATGAAGAAATTAGCCAATTTTTACAAAACAAAAACCTAAAAATATATAAAATGACAGAATAGACCATCTCATGATTTACTTATAAAGAACTATTGACTAAATATAACTGGAATATTAAACTATATAGGTAAACGGAATACTGCAAAGCAGTACAGATATAATTATGTATATGTTTGAAATTAAAGACCATAGATTTACAGACAGATCAGAAGAATGAATCAGAATATTCTCATGTGGAATTAAGATTGTTTACTGAAAGCACTAGATGTCTAAAAATTGGTCATTTAAAACTATTTTACTTGATTGTTTACCCCATCTCTAATAACTTATTCCTAGCATCAGTTTTTAAAGTGTTCTCTTAGACTTTCATAGTGAAGCACGTCATCATATTTCTATAATTATAAAGTTCTTAAATGAGATGTGTTAATCATTAATTATCTTACTGAATTTTTTGACTAAGATCATTTTATTAGTGAATCCACTGATATCTATATGGGAGTCTTCTAAAATCATTCACCAAAGTATTTCAATCCTTGCAGGCGAGGGACTCTGTGCATGTGCACTCTATTATTGTGTCAGCTTGACCAGTGGTCTTGGCTACTCAAAGGTCAGTGGTCACAGTTGTCCTGAATTACTAGTTCTTTTTTCCTGTGGACCCTCTGCTGTGTTGCATGCTGTAATCTTCTTAATGGCTTCATTCCAATATTCACACATAATATTTTAGATTTATTGACTGTTAGAAATACTACCATGCCAGTAGCAGTTCCGCTACTCTTAAGGTATTTAAAATTGGAAAAATAAATCAGGGCAGAGCTTTCAGGAAGCCTTTGTTTTCCTTAAGGGAGGAGAAAAAACGCTCTTCCTGTCTTCTGACAAGAACACTTGCTTTTCGATTTCATCATTTCAGTATAGATTTGGATCACTAAGAGAGGGGAAAAAAACCCAGCTTTTAAGGGGAGTGATTTTAATGATACAGATTATTACATGGAATAACTTTTAAAAGCAGTAGATCCATTAACAAATTTCTTGTAGGCCTTTATTTATAAAAAAATACATTCTGATATTATGTTCAGTGGCATTTCCAAATGTGGACCTTCACACTTAGTTTGAGTATTTTTAATTAAAAAGTAAATTTTAGGATTATGCAGCAATAAAAATTAAAGTTAATGTTTTGTGTTGTATTTTTAAACATAGGACAAAAAGCCAGTTGCATTAAAATAGTATTTGAAATAATAAGATTATTTTAACATAACAAAAATGCATTTTTGAAATCCCAAACTCATACACAAATTGAGTTTCAAGTAGATAAAAAATTTAAATGTATTTCTGTTGGCGGTACTGCTTGTTTTTAGATTTTGCTCATTTTGAGTTCTTTTTGAAGTGAACATTTTAAAATATAGTTTGGAAAATTGTTACTCCTTAAGAAATTATAAGACAGCCCATTTGATGTAAAATTAAACTAATTAGTATTGTAATGAGTTTTAGGATATCTGCCTTCATTGTGTGTTATGATAAAGTGGTTATAACTACTTTATAGATGTTAAGTTAGAATTGATATTTGAAAAAAATTATGTAATTAGAACACTCATTACTAGGAAATCAGTTTTGACCTAAAATATTACTTACCTATTTTTAAATGACTTTAACTAACTCATTATATTGTAAAAATGAATATGAGATAGGTCAGTATACTAATCCCCGTTGTAAATAAGTGAAGTTACAGAAAGTTAATAATGTTAATGGTAGGTCTAGAGCTTTAATACCTATGGGATGTTCTTTGACTACACTGGTTCTTCTCATGGAACCTTGACATTCAATATAATGGGATCATCTTCATTTTATTTTGATTTTGTTTGGGGACCTGTATTCAGGGTTTACTCCCAGCTCAGTACTTGGGGATATATGGGGTGCTGAGGATACACTCTCATGGTCAGCCATATGCAAGGCAAGCATCCTACCAGTTTTACCATCTCTCTGGCCCCAGTGACTTTATCTTTTAAAATAGGGAATTTCACTCTTTATGTGTCAGTATGACTCATTTGATTTAAAATAAAACAGGCAGCACCGTTTTTAAAAACTTGTTTTGAGGGCTGGAATGATAGTACTTAAGAGTTCTGGTCAGTTCACCATAGTCAACAGTGTTAACAGAATAGCTACACTGGGTATAAAGGTTTCAAAATTACTAAACATTGAAAAAAGGGAGTCATATAAAATACTGTGCATCTTCTATTGAGGCTTTCAAGTTTCACATAAAAAATTGGTTAATAGTTTTATTGTAATATTAAAGGAAAAACACAAATTGCACTTAATCACTAAATGTCATTTAAAAAGCCTATTTAATAGAGGGAACAAAAGCCCAAACTCTTACTTAAAAAAAACTTTAAGTATAAATATTCAAGTGATGCAATTAATTTGGGAATAAGAATGGAAAAGAATTGTCTTTTTCAGAGAGATTTGTAAATCAACTTTAAAAACACACAAACAGATTCAACTCTAAGGCCATGCAGATGATAAGCAGATATCTTTAATTAAATGAATATTTCCTCTAATCTAACAAGAGGGTAGGCTCTCCTAAATTGTCACAGTACATGATATAAAATGGGGGGCATTAGAGAATATTATACAAGATTCAAAATTGCCACAACTCTACTATAATTTCTATGTTTAGCTATAGATGAATTCCCTAGCAAATTTTTGGAGTGTCTAGGTTTGGAAAAATATATCACAGTTTCACCTAGGTTCTGAAGTTACTTAGAAATTTGTCTTTTTTTAAAAAAATTTTTAGTTTAATAGAGTATATGGCAGGAGACAAATAATGCTTTCAGTTCACCCCTGAAGAAATGTGTTCCTTTACTGTGCCTTGCCCTCCACAGAGCTTCGGTACAGGGCTTTGTAAATAGTAGACATTCAGTAAAACGATTGTTGAAGGGAAATAAAATTCTTTTCACTTATCTTTTGTAATAGAAGTAAAGTCCCTTTTTAGAGTTAATGCCTAGAACATTATTTTATAAGGTTTTCATCTGACTTTCATGATGTTGAAAGGAACATTATGGAACTTGCCTAGACTAAGTGCAACTTTAGCTTTCCTCTCTTTGGAAAAGAATAGTATCATTCTGCAGACTATTCCAGCGGCCATGGAAGTTCATCCTTCTTTTAAGTTGTTGTTAGATGGTAAGTCAACTTCTGCAGATTTTGCTCCTTTCATACT